GCAGGTAGTGTCCCTTTCGGAGCAGGGTACGGCATATGTTGGCATATTACTTGAAAATGAAATAATGCTGCATTGCTATATAAAGCCCATCTCTATTATTGGAACACAGCGACTGTCGCCTTCTTAAGACAGGATATATAAAATTCAACAAAGTAAACAAAAAAAACATTTTTTAAATTAAAGTTGATCTGGTCGTCAGATAAAAAAAATACCATTAAATATGTCACACTGAGTTCTGATGGTACAGGATATTCAGTTTTATCAGCCTGCGCTTCTTTTAAGGTATCTGCAGCAGCATCTACCGACCCTCACTGTTGTGGAATGTCTTAGTGCAGATTAGAGTTGTCTTTAGGGCAGCAGCTTCAAATATTGCGGTATCTGATGTTCGCTTCGAAAATTCCGATCCATTTTGGATGTGCTGGCGAAGTCACGATCGGATCACGGCGAGTTAACCCGTTGAGTGCGCTCCTTGGCATGCACCAACGCATTGCAGAGAAGTGACACCCGCGGAGCAGGCACCGCAGTCGCGCGAGTCGCGCTGTGCTTTGTGCTCCGAAAAGGACGGTGAGGCTTTACCAGCACTACATCCAGAGTTTGGTGCAACTCAACTACACTTCGTTTCAGCTTCGGTGCGAGCGCAGCCGAAGCTACAAGCGAGCGCATGGAGCCCGTAACGGTGCCCACACTGCACGAGCCCGCGCGCGAGTCAGGAATGCACAAAGCATTGGGCTCGCGCTAGCTTTGACTTCGCTGGTAGCTAGCGCACGGGAACAGGGTGGGCCCACATTAAAAACATCCACAAACTCGGCCCCCTTTTTTTTTTTTTTTTTTTTAATTAGGCTGCTTAGTGGGATGGTTCTTCGCTTAGCCTCTGCGGCTTTGGTCTCAGATGTTGCTAACGTTGTTCCTTTCAGTGATGATGATGATAATGCGCCCTCGCAGTTCCGGTTTGCGTAACGGTTGCGGCGCGGAAAATACCGCGGTACCGCCACGCGCTCTGATAAGACTTAAATTTTTATTTTTTATTGCTACATCTCATCTGGGCGCAGGCATGGCGCAATTCTTCAGTAAAATGACAATTTGGCGCTACATGTAGCAGGATTGAGTCCTTGGCGCAATTTGGCGCAATTGGCGCAGCACTTCCATCACTGCAGCGGAACTCATCCTACTAAAGACGTCATATTGAGCGTTTAACCAATCCTGGAATGTAGGGTGCCTAGATGTCTGTCTGTCTCAGGGTGAAGACATCCATTGTTGTCCGGAATGCGCCAGCGCGTGACGCTCTCGCGCACTCGGTGCGTGACTTGGGCGGTAAGATGGCGTCTATGCATCAGCCAAAGCTACGCGCTCGAGCTGAGCGACACCGGATTGCGCGCACTTCAAAATGCATAAAAAAACAATTGGGCGGAAAAATGGCTGAGATGTCACCACTCAAGCAAAAGCGCGCGTGTGTATGAAGGCACTCTACTGGAATGCCGATGACAGCGACGCTTTTGGTCGCGCACGTCGCCAGTATTCCCTGGAGGCCAGAGCTGCGCGCGTGACTGCTGAGCGCGTGATGATGGCGAGCTTCCCATTCTTTTGCAACGGTGCATTCGATACCATCGAGATTGTCAGTCTTTGCGCTCTAAACAGCACTAACAAATATGTCGTCCAGTGAATACTCCCTATAGGAGGTATTCACTGGACGCCGTATTTGAGGGCGATGCTTAGAGCGAATGCTCAGTACGAACTTACAGTAATAAGCTGCTAAGACCGGCAATGTTGATGGCGCGGAATGCGTGTTTTGGAAGCGTTGTAGAAGATTGCCGTCAGCACGCGCTCAGCAGTCGCGCACACAGCTATGGCCGCCAGTGAATACAACTTATTAGCGATGTGCGCGGCCAAAAGCGTCGCTGTGGTCAGCTTTCCACGATTGGCCGAACCATGGGCATATGAGCACTGTCAGACTGTCAACTTTGACGGTGTTAGTTTCGTATTGCGATGGCTCCTAGCTTCTACTGTGCTGTTTAAACACACCATCGAACTCGTCGTCACGCCCGATGGTAAGTGGCCAGAATAACAACTGGTGACGTCACGGCGAGGCAAATCCCAGTCGTGACGTCACGGAGGAAAACCATAAGAGGGCGCCACCGAAACATCTCGGCGCTAATAGGAGGCATTCACTGGACGCCATATTTGAGGGCGATGTTTAGAGCGCATGCTCAGAATGGGCTCACATTAATAGCCTGCTAAGACCGGCAACCTTGACGGTGCTGAATGCACGCTCCAAAAGGACTGCGGAAGCTCGCCGTCAGCACGCGCTCAGCAGCAGCGCACACGGATATGGCTGCCAGTGAATACTCCCTATACAATGTTGTAATGCGGAGAGCAGCCGATGAACTTGGCCCGGCAGCACGTCCCCTTTGAGCGAGGCGCGACAGCCAATGTTCTGACGCCACGAATGAGCGAACGCCGCGAAATGAAGTTCGTTTTCTTATTTTTTTTTTTTTTCCTCGCTGTATTGTGCTACGATTTTGGGTAGGAACGCTTTTCATTTTACACACGCTTACTGGTACTAGTGTGACCCAGCTATACTCGCACGCAACGCCACTGACCAAGAAGTTTCCTCGCCGACGTTTTCATTCCGTCTCTTCGCAAAACTCCCTTAAGAAATCCTGAGGATCACATTGTTGAGAACGCCAACAATGCAATCTCCAGGCTTTCGGCATCAAGCTTGGCGTTGTCCGCGGAGACGATATTTAAGTGCGGCTCATACAGTGGACACGAGCACCGCGTGAGCATTCGCTTTTGGCTCGTGAGATGGTTCGTGCCCAACCGCTGCGACTCAGCACGCGGGGAACACAGCGCGTGTCCTGTGCTCTGCCAACCGCAGCGCGTGGATATGATAAACATTGGCGGCGGATATAATCAATAGAATCGGCTCCAGATCACGTGGCCGCAAGTTCTGGCAGACAGTCGAGGGGCTCTGCTCGTTTTCTTCGAACTCCTATGCAACTGCCATACCTTGAGGGGAAAGAAACAGAAAAAAGTGCGCGTGTTTTATAAGTTACAAACTTACGAATGTCAAGGAATAACTCTAAGCGCGGTATTTACTGAAAGTGCAAAACTTGTTAATTTAATTTCTAGGTGAAAACATTTTTTTTTCTTTTTTTGTTTAATTGTGTTGCATGTTTATTTAGGAAGTGAAACCGCAGTCACGCGGCTCGCACATCGTACAAAAGGCACGGTGTTTCTCCGCAAAACAAGACGACAGAATTAACTGCGGACACGCCTAAGGAATGATCGAAGCATGTTTCCTTCATACATGCCTCAAACATGGCTGCAGACCGTTTTTGCATGACCAATGTGACCGCCATACAGGGAAGAAACACGCCTCAGACAGTAAAGTTTTACGGAACCGTTTTTGTACAACCGGTACGAACTGCGCATGCGCTGCAGCATGAGATTCGCACATGCGCAGTTCGTACCGGAGGGCCTATGGTACCGTGTCGGACGTGTCACAACGATTCCCTAAAACTCACTAGTGTCTGCAGACCGTCCTCTGTATCATGTATGAAGTAGTCTGGCTGGGGCTTTATTCATTATCTGTGCCCCGAGAGGGGGGCGCCACGTGCTCTCCGCTGTGGACTACTACTGTGGACGAGAAAGTTCGCCAGTGCAGTGCTGGCTCTCTAGCCTGGCCGTGTCGCACTGCTGCAGCCGTCCGTGACGTGACGGACCGTCACAGTGGGCCCCTATGCACCGTCGCGAGAGCCTCGGACAACAATGACGCACTGCGACAGGGGGGCGGACAGACCCCGATGGCGGCGGCATCGGTTCCGGTCACTGAGCAAGACGCGTTTCGCAGGCTCGAAGCGCCCAGTAATCTGCGTTGATTACGGATGCGAGAATTCCTCCTTAGCCTTGTCAGTCGATCACGATTGTACGCTCGGTTGACCGACGGGGCATCATCCACGGGGCAAGGCCAGCGATAGGATGTGCGCGCCAGTGAATCACCCGTCCTGCCAGCAGCACCAGCAGTAGTATCGTCACTCCGTGGCATTCCTTTTCCCGATTATACCGCTAACAACACCAGGGGCGAGGTTGGCGAGGCGGTATCGCAATCAAAGAAGGACCAATCGATCTCAGTCATAGCCTCCAATGTGTTTCGGCAGTAGAAGAAAGGTGTCCACCCTTTAGGGTGCCTGGTCTTCATGCGCGCAAGACACCCTAACATTCATTCATTTGCTTTATAGCGGTGAAATACCATAGTTATAACGTGGGTGCTCATCCACGCTCATGTCGTGGCTGTTTTGTTGGAGGAAGGGGAATGGGGAAGAAAGAACCGTGGGAACTGAAACCGAGTGACCTAAGGTGAAGCTAAATACTGACCCTATAATTCAAATAATAATTAAACATAATAAACGTAGGGGTGGTGCATGTCTTCAGCAGTTATAATGGCAGAAGCCTGAGACCGAGAAACGCATAGAAAATGGGATGTCCCTTTGCCTGTGGGCTCCTCAGCCTCGGGTATGTATTATAGTACTGCGAGGGACACGTGATCGCAGATCCGAATGCAACGCGGTACTTTACAGTCGCACGCACTGCTATTTCAACCACAAAGATTCTGGGTGATACAATCCGTTTTACGACGTCCAGAGAAACGCGACGCTTGAATTGACGGTCGCGGCGCTTCAGTCGGGCGGATCGCGTCGAGCAACAAATTGACGCCTCTTTTGGGGTACCGTGGGGCATGGCAGCAGCCGATGTCTGTCGTCCAGCTGTGCCTGTCTGTCCGCACGCCGAAGTATACATATAAACACACATTGGGAGGTAAAATGGCCAAAACGACGCCAGGCTAGCATGCGGGTGCGCGCGCGTGTACGACTACTCCACGAGTCATCGTTAGACGAAGAACAAGGCAGCCATCCGGGCTGCGACGGCACGGCGAGGCCGGCCCCCTTGTCGTTTCGCGAGTAGGACCTTGGCGAGCGGGCAAACAGGAAAGGGGTACTTACGCGGATGACGCTCACGTCTGGCGAGGCGACGGTAATCCTGAAGAAGGGCGTCACGCCGAGGTCCACGATGAGCTTCTCGAGCGTCGTGTCTCTGTCCCAGCTCTGCATGGACCAGGCCGACGTGCGGATCAGGTCCCAGCCGCCGGCCTGCCGCGCCATGTGCACGAACACGGCCAGCGCGTTGGGCGTCAGACCGCGAGGCTCCATGCACGTCTCGTAGAAGCGCTTCACTTTGGACGCCGCCGACCTCTCGGGCGCTTGCGGCGGCACCAGGTCGACCAAGTGGCGCAGTCGGTGGTGAACGCTGTGCCGTAGCCGGGCCTGGGCGTCCAGCCGACTCCGGTGACCCGCCAGCGGGCTAGGCGCGCCGTCGCACGCCAGGGCGTACGGCTCGACGCAGGGGTCGGCGCGCGCGTCCAGCGAGCCGAGCACTCCGGCAGCGGTCGCGAGGCAGGTCGCGGTCAGGCAGCGCGGCGGCTCCGAGGAGCCGGACGAGTGGACCTGTACGGCCAGGGCGATGATGATGACGAAGAAGACGAGCAGGAGCACGCACAGCAGCACGATCACCAGCGACGGAATGTTGGCCACCGCCGAGGTGACCTGGGCACGCAGCTTCGACATGCCCTCGTTGGGCCGCCGCTGGTGCCCGTCGTCCATGCACTTGTCGTTCTCGTGCGGCTCGCCCTTGTCGTCGTCGGGCTTGGCGTGGTTATCGGCCGACATGTTGGCCGCAGGGAAGTAATTCCTCGCTCGGCCGGTCTTGGGGCTCACACGTCGTCGCGGGCGGAGACGCCGCCGAGGTCGCGCAGCGGGCCGACTCCGGGTCCGGAACCTGTGGCTCCCTTCGAAGCCGGCACGGTTCCGGGTCGCTCGTGGGCCGACACCGAACAAAAGTACAACCGGACGATGCGAGGGACGCGACGTACTCCGCGCTCTGACCGAAGACCGCCGACGGGAGCGAAGTTCGCGCAAGCGCAGTGGCACTACGTAACTTTTGTGAAAGTTGGCGCTTGGCGCGTAGCGCCATCTAGGCGTGGTTAGCCTAACTGCGCACTGAACTGGCTGAATTATGGGAAAGGGGGGGCGGGGGGGGGGGGGGGGGGGGGGGGTTCTTTTTTTGGGGTTTTTGGGGCATTTGGGGCCTTTGGGTTGCCTTGGGTCCGACTCCTCGCTCGGGTCCGCGTCGGGATTCGGGACGGTTTGCTGTTATATGCGGGGTGTTCCGTTTGAATTCGAACAGATTTATTACAAAACATTCGTAAAAGATGGCACTAATACGGTTTGTGCAGGTGAGACATTATGTGGGTGATTAATCTTTGCGATAAGTCGGCTAATCTATTGAAATTCGTTAATTAACTTTTTAATTAGTGAAAATAGACATATGGTTTCAATTAGAAATTTACTGAACGTCATTGAAAACCACTAAATCAACTCTTTTCAGAACGACTTGAAGCTCGTGGGAAACTTGGGGCCAGTGACGTCACAACGGGGTGCCAAAAAGGGGGGAAGGGGGGGGGGGGAGGGGCGCACCGCCCCAGGTGCAGCGCTCCGGGGGTGTCGCGACGGGCCGGTGCGGGGGGGGGGGGGGGGGGGGGATGGAGTTGCGGAGGGCAACGAGCCGGGGGGGGGGGGGGGGGGGATGGAGGCGGGCGTCGAGCGGGCCATCGCCCCGGGTGCCGCTGACCATAGCGACGCCACTGCGCACCAAATGTACCACACTCGCGCAGCAGGCGCAAAGCTAGCAGTGGCAAAACACGGATGATTAGATTACCAGGGGGGAGGGGGGGTCCATCCCCCCCCCTGTTTCCACCACTGCACAGAGTATAAAATATAAAGCTAAAACAGTTTAGCCTCAAGGCCTCTTCAAAACGCATGAAACCGCGGCATTTGGTGCTTGTTTGTTTTTAGCATATTCAGAGGATTGGAACTCGGATCACGCGGATATATCTCTAACGGAATGCATGCGGGCTTAAAGAATGGTGTAAACGAAACGTAATACAATTTGTTCTCTTTATGACAGCATGTTAAAATTGAAGGAAAAGCGAAAACTTCCATTGTTTCGTAATTTCATTTTCAGTACTCGTACATGACCAATTCACAAACATGACATATACTGTGGAAGGTAATGACAGGTTCTACACGTAATATTATTTCAAAAACAAAACTAAATATTTCCACTAAAAAATTTTAGTTTTGGTCACAGTTGTTTAATGTGGCATGTTTGGTGATATTTATAAAACTTAGAGTGACGAATAATACATAGTACTTAGAAGTCGTTGTACCCACTTGCATACATAATACAATAAAAGAAATTACGGTAGCTCCCTCTGTAATAGCTCGATATTTATCATGATTCAAAAACGCCACACACAACGTTACTGAGAACGTTAGCCACACGACCTCGTCGTCTTTTCCTGCTTCTTTGGCATTGCTTTTCTCAAGATCTACACATGTTAGAAAATTAATATAAGAAACGTTATTTTTCTGGTCACATACGCGACTAAATAAAATAAAAATTTAAGCAAAACCCAAAATACAAGTTTACCTCATTGCCTGAAACCAAATGAAACCACCCATGAGCTGCCGAATTAACAAAATTTGTTTACAATACTGTGCTTTGCCAAACGTATAGCGGTTACTTGTTCAGGTTGCGGTTATTTTCTGAGAAATTTGAATGGCCCCAAAGTGTTAAAAAAAAGGAATTTGCGTTAAGGTGATTTGGTGGCTAAGGCAGCCAAAGAAAAAAAGACTGAATTGGTTCATTAGTTAACTAATTAACTAAAATGTTTTCATTTACTTTTTAAGCTTTCATTTTTAAGTGCATAATAAAGTTGGAGAAGTGACGCCTAACCTCATTATATATTCTAGCCGTGCCGTGAAAATTAGACGAAAGAATTCGTAGTGCTCTTTGGGGCCAGCAATTTCACCTTTGTACGTGTCTCCAAACTGAAACTAATCGTGTAAAAAGCGCCATTGATGTCGATGTTTCATTCTAATCTGGATTGAGATCTGTGTCAAATACGGTTCGTATGGTTTCTAATCGTTAATCTTTAGTTTATAGGTTTGTCTAGAATCTAGATGATTGCGTTCTGTCTGTGTCGAGTAGATGATTCCACTGTTTACAAAAACCACAGTGCACACGCGCTGATACTGCAGCCAGAGGTCGCTTGCAACAGCGGTCAGCTATGCGGTCAGCCAGAGAATGCCCGAGCGAAACGCACAAATACGGCAATGTACAGTTCAAGAGACGCGTTTATAGAAAGGTGTATACTTCATACAAAAACTTGATTATTTTATTACTCCAAATATGCTTTTATTGATCAATAATGCATATTGTAAAGAGCAGTAAAGCCCTCCGCTACCCGGAACTCTAGAGCCAAGGCCATTGGTATCGCTCCAGCACGCCCCCTGGCTCAGCTGAACGGTCCCAACGGAAAGCTTTCCAGTTATTAGGGAGTTTTAGTAGACCGTGTTCCCCTTCCGCTACCCGGAACTCTATAGCCAAGGCCATCGGCACGCAGACGCAGTGGCGGTTTGTTCGTTGCGGAGGGTCAGCGGAGGGGGAAAACACAGTCTACTAAAACCCCTTATTCTTTACATGAGTACCGGTTACGGCATGATTACGTTGTACAACCTCTCGTGAACAGTTACTGTATTTTAAAGATCGACGTACGACCTCGGCTTTCTGCAGGGAAGATAATCCTTTTAGCGCTCCCCTCCCCAAAGCTGCGAAAGGAGCCAAGTTGGGCAAGGTAAAAAGTGGAGAGGATATGGGATAGAGCGAGTTGGCGAGGCGGGCAAAAGTGGAAAGCGCGAAGCGTACGTGGGGCCTTTAAGAGCAGGGTGTCCCACCGTCACGTTGAGGGCGTGGCCACCTGATACGGAGGATTCGCGTCATAGGCTGCTAAAAAAAAAAGGGGGGGGGGGGGGGGGGGGCTTTCGAAAGCGGGGCGTAATTATAACGGTAAATATTTTATAGGTGTCTAAGTTGAAAACATAAAAATCGACTGCAGCAGACCCCAATGCATGGAAGAGAAATAAGAGACAGTAAGTATTTTTCGGCTTATTGTTGTTTGTCGATACTTACTCTTATACTAACATGCTCTTGCACAAAATTAGAAATTTATATTGTTTTTTTTCGACCTTTGTGAGTTCCAGGTTTTTTGCTTTGTGTGGCCGTCTCCACTAAAAAATGCTTTCCAGAACAACCCTTTCGCATGACACAGTATGATTTGCAGATAATTACAATAGTTTATTTTTCAAATATTGGAGAGCAATTTTCACTCTTAATGCTTTGCCATCAAAGGGAGAGGCACAACGGCACATGCGCGTGCGCCTCCTGCAAGAACGACGGTCACTTCCCGCAGTGCTTGTATGGAAAATGGCATACCATCGAGATTTACACGTTTATCAGTGACCTTCGCGCTACACCGTGGCCCGTTCTTCGGAAGCGCCATAATTTGCGTAGTGAATGCTATACGACAATGTGAAATGCGGGACATACAAAACATTTCGGAATCTCTTGCGGGACGCGGGACACGAGTCCTCAATGCGGGACAGTCCCGCGAGTCGCGGGACGGGTGGTCACCCTAATTCTAACCATTTTTGATGCAATTCGTGAAACCTACAGCTGCGCAGCGGTGAGGCATAACGACTATGAAGCCGAGCCGTCGCGAGAATAGCGGAGGGAGTCAAGCCGAACCCCTCTCTCAGAAGGGGCGCATGCGCCCAGTGATCTCTGAAAAAAAAAGGTCTGCGGACAGGCACCAAGCATAGGTTCAAGGCATGTTTGCTTCAGGCTTGCAACATGTCTGCAGACAGGTTTTGCGTGTTAACAGAACCGTAACACAAGGGAGAAGGACGCCTCAAACACTAGGAAGTTTTCGGAAACCGTCTTTGCACATCCGATACGATACGATGGGCCCTTCGGTGTACGAACTGCACTTGTACATCTGCAGAATATTCACACAAGCGCTGTTCGTACCGGAGGGCCCATCCTACCCTATCGGATGTGCAAAGACGGTTTCCGAACACTCTCTAGTGTCTGCGGAGAGTTTTTGTTTTAATGATATATTGGCTTTCTGATTGCGGCTTTATAAGACCACATAAACGCTGGCACGAAGCCGCTTGCTCGAATAAATCGGGACCTATAGCGTGGTGTATACTCACCCGTCCCACTTAATTCATTACCGAGGATAAAAACTGTTCGGACTTATGGAACACAACCAGGAAACTTGGCGCGTTTATTGATCGGGACAGAGTCAAACCTGCATATAGGGGCAAGATGCTTCTATAGCTCCTGGGCCCTCTTCCTGCAAGAGCTGTTCGTTTACGAGCGGCTTCGTCGCACCTTGTGATTTGCGAGATCAGTCGTGAGAAAAAAAACGGGAATGTTGAGACAGTGTTCGATTCTGCTCGAGTCTCCCTATTAAACACAAGCAACCGACACCGACAAGCCTCAAACACGTGCAGCAAGCACGCGATGATACCTTTTGCAGGCTTGCAGTCTGTCGGTGTTCGTCTACTGCTGGCAGGATTTTGCAGTCTCCCGGTGCTTGTGAAGAAAGCATGAGCGATTGCAAGCCTGCTAAAGATATATCCTTCCCGTGCATAATGCTCGTGTTTGAGGCTTGTCGGTGTCGGCTCTTACTGTTTGTCCTTCCAGTAAGACTCGGGCATTAAACGCAGCAGTTCGAGAAAAAAAATTTTGGCCAGTGCGAGGGAAGAACAAAAATAGCATCGAAGTGTGCATTACTCTAATCCAAGTCCATTGATTTTTTAATACTTCGTAATTGACGCTTTAAGATGTGACTTTAGCTGGTTGTGTGGGTCGACGCTTCGAAAGTTAGAGTTCCCAATAACCTTAAGCGCCTCCTGTACGTTACTCTTGTCCGTCCCAAATTAGAATATGCGTCTTCAATTTGGCACCCTCATCAATCAACGCTAACTGATTTAATTGAAT